GGAGAATCGCGCTCTCGCTTTGGATTCCCTCGCAACCATACGCGTGCCCTTCGTAGCCCCGCTGTCGCCCTTCGTGGCCCTCTCGCTGCCCTTCGCGGCCCCTTTGCTGCCCTACGTGGCCCCGCTGTCGCCCTATGTGGCCCCATATACGAATGCCATACGTGGCCCCCGCTCGCTCGCGCCCGTCGTGGCCCCATATGCATGTCCTTCGTGGCCCCCTTTCGTTTTCAAGGGCTTCACAAACCACACGTGGCAGGGAATGAATATACCCCCCAAGCGGGGGTACGATCGAAGACGAAAAGGGCGGGTATCCAGGGTTTGGGATATGCATATTGAATGACACGCGAGCAGATTAGAGCGAACAGTCGTCAAATGAGTGTTGCTGTTGTTGTTGATGCTGATGGTTTTGGTGTTGTCGTCGTTGTTGTTGGTGTTGTTGTTGTTGTTGTTGGTGTTGTTGTTGGTGTTGTTGTTGTTGCTGTTGTTGCTGTTGCTGTTGGTGTTGTTGTTGTTGTTGATGTTGTTGTTGTTGTTGTCGGTGTTGTTGTTGTTGTTGCTGTTGTTATTATTGTTGTTGTTGTGGTTGTGGTTGTGGTTGTTGTTGTTGTTGTTGTTGTTGTTGTTGTTGTTGTTGTTGTTGTTGGTTGTTGTTGTTGTTGAATATTATTCCTTCTAAAGAATTATTATTGTTGGGACCCCTGGTGCGCGACCTCTGCGCCGCGCCTAGGCCGCAGCTACATTTTCATCATTTTTTCGCGAAAGCTTCAGAAAAGTGGATTGTGTCCGGATCCGGTTTTTTGTTGACGCTCGTTTTCCCTTGCAAAAAACAATAGAAAATGAAAATTCTTGTTCTTACTTGATCAAATTGCAAGAATCCCTTGCAAAAAATAAGGTAAAGTGGACATTCGTGCGCGCAAGACGAAATCCTTCCAAAACCTTAGGTTTCGTAGCGATTTTAACATAAAAACATCAAAAACCCAATGGTTTTTTAAGAAAAAATTGTCAAAATGTCCTTCCGCGCGCGCTGTCCGAATCCCACAAAACCAATGGTTTTTCAACATTTATGTTACATGAGCTCGCGCGAGCTACTTTTTCTTGTTCTAACATAATCAAATTTCAATAATCCCTTGCAAAAAATAAGGTAAAGTGGACATTCGCGCGCGCAAAACGAAATCCTTCCAGAACCTTAGGTTTCGTAACGATTTCAACATAAAAACATCAAAAAACCCACTGGTTTTTCAAAAAAAAATGTCCAAATTTCATTCCGCGCGCGCTGTCCGACTCTGGTTTTTCAACATTTATGTTACATGAGCTCGCGCGAGCTACTTTTTCTTGTTCTAACATAATCAAATTTCAATACTCCCTTGCAAAAAAAAGTAAAGTGGACATTCGCGCGCGCAAGACCAACAAAAAACACGACGATCTCAGGAACTTGCCCCAAAAATGTGACCAACTCCGCTCTCTCTGTCTCTCTCTCTGTCTGCTCTCTGTCTCTCTCTCTGTCTGTCTGTGTCATGTATTGTATGTCACAATTGCAGGATGCTGGGCACACGCGCGCCCCGAATAAGTGACCAAGTTCTGTGGGTGTGTACCCCACGCCAGTGTAGTAGCCACGGTCGTCCGCACGCCACGAAGTGAAGTGTCCCAACGTCATAGGGCGGGAAGCTGGGTTTGGGTGGTCGCGAAGAGTCGTTTGGATATTTGGTAGAGCTTGAACTGCCCCCCCACGAAGTGGGGGTATTGTCTCGCGTCGCATGAAAACCCTGGCACTGGTGAGAACACTGAGCGTTCGGGTAAAATGATTGTTGTTGTTGTTGTTGTTGTTGTTGATTGTTGTGTGTTGTTGTTGTTGTTGTTGTTGTTGTTGTTGTTGTTGTTGTTGTCGTCGTCCCCCCCGCGACCCACCCGCGACCCACCCCGCGACCCACCCCGCGACCCACCCCGCGACCCACCCGCGACCCACCCCGCGACCCAACCCGCGACCCAACCCGCGACCCAACCGCGACCCATCCGCGACCCCCCCTCGACCCACCCGCGACCCACTCGCGACCCACCCGCGACCCACCCGCGACCCACCCGCGACATACCCGCGACCGATCCACATTGGTTCGAAGAAAAAGATCGGCGCCTGCGGCGGGCTCGCTGTATAATTTGTGAAACTTTGGCGCTTGCGGCGGGTTTCTCCAGAGTCTCGCAGACTGCCGGCGCCCCCATCGCCCCCTCACTCTTATCCGCATTTGCGGGGTGCTACGTGTGTATATATAGATTCCTCTTCATAAGTTTGAACAAATCTGGACCCTGCGGAAACCCTGCCCCCCCCCCCGAAACGGGGCCACGGGATCTTAGGCTCCAGGACGCCGCTTGCCGGGCCTCCTTGGGGGTCCCTGCCGAGCCATGCGCGCGGGTCGGCGGCGGCCCCATGAGACCCTCAAGGCGGTCGAAGATGGCCTCCAGCGGCCCCGGACCCCCGCCAGACGCCCGAAGACGGCCCAAAGATTACCCCCAAGAGGTTTTCGAAACGCAGAGTCGTTTTTTTCCGTTGGCTTTGGTATGCGTTGGGGCTACTCGGCTATT